ATGTTTCTTAATCTAGTCCTTGTCACTGGTGGACCTGTGTTACAGTATTTCCTGTCCTCCATGTTGAACCGTGTCCTGTTGTTGGATTCAGATTCTGCAGGAGCTGGAGTACGGAGCCTCTGTGGACTGGTGGGCCCTGGGGGTGCTGATGTACGAGATGATGGCCGGACAGCCTCCGTTTGAAGCCGATAACGAAGACGACTTGTTCGAGTCGATTCTCCACGACGACGTCCTCTACCCCGTGTGGCTCAGCAAAGAAGCCGTTTCCATCCTCAGAGCGGTACGAGTCGTCTCTGCAGCACGACGCACAACATTTCCTTCGTTTGATTATTAATTAGAGTTTGAAGAGTGCATATCCTCTTCTTCAGCAGGCGCTCGTAGGCGTCCATGGCGAAGTGAAAAACACTTTGATTTTGAATCTTAATTCAGTAGATTTCGCCCCAATCATATAGCGTACAGTATGTGTTTTGTTATTTGTTATCCATGTACATTTAAGACTTTTCTTTACCAAATTAACATCAACAAAATCTTTCTGTTAGACAGAGTTTAGACAAAATCATTCAAAAGAAGATTTTCTGAAAAATAAATACACAGCGATTCTTTAAAAACCCAGAAGGTCGTTCAACAACATTTACAACTCTTCTGAAGGTACTGAAGAAAATATTAGATGATAGAAAGTCACTTCAATGTGGAGAAATATAACTGATAGTGAAGTCCTTAATGTTTGGTTCATAACTTCGGCGAGGACATTTTCATCCCCAGCTACCATCTTTGTTTGGATTAGATAACAGAGCTGGGAAACATTTCTATGATGCAACAGATGGAATATCTTTTTTATCCAGATGGTCAAAAAATATTCAAGAGGATTCTTGAAATACATCAGAATGTATTGCTTTTTTTTCTTTCCTGTGACTTTAATCTAATGGTAGCACATGAGAGGCACAAACTAGGTTACATATAACTGTTGTTTCAACACTATTTAAAAGGCTAGATTCTATTGTTTAAATGCTTTTGGAACAAAGGTTCAATGAAAACTAGAAGCTCACCTTTCAGCCAGATGTAACCAGGTGTCAACATGACTTTTCACCTTCAAATCACCGTGCTGCATTACAACATGGATGACTGTGACCTCCAAAATTTTTACTTCATGCAAAAAGGTTTCGCTCGAGATTATCAGGCGTTGCACTATCATTCATGTTTCTATCGTCAGAGCTGCACACGAACAAAATGAAACTCATTCAAAGTGCACTTAACACAGAGGTGTTACGCTTCTCTTTGCTCTGATACCAAGCAGAATAAAAAGAAGTCAGTCAAAGAGGTTAAAGTAATAACAATGCGATCATAAAACCAAAGTGCTCTTACAATACTGAACAGGCAGCAGAACAAAAGAGACGCGGCTTTCAGTCTCAGTAAATAACACCAGCACTCTGCTGACCTGTTTCATCACTCCGCCACTACGCCTCTTTGTTTGTACCACAGAGCCATTAATGCCTCACTCTATTATTAGCACTGAAATGCTTTTTGCTCAACCCCTCGTTCTGCTTCTGTCCTCTTCATTTTATGGAGGAAACCACAGCTGAGGGTCCTAAAGGGGGTTGGTTTTCAGACTCAGACCCTTATGTCTGTGGGCGGGCACGGCGTAAACGTAATAGAGTGTTCTGATCAGACTGAACACATTCTTTTTGTCTATACGGGGGAATATGCGCGTCTGAATTTTCACTGATGCGGAAACAACAGTGAAGTCTTTTACAGTTAATATATGTCAGTGGGAATGCAGCCTACCTGGACTGCAGACGAGGAAATGGAACGCAGCTATTTTCTGGGGAGCTGCCGAGATCTGGACGTGATTTCAGACCTGCAGAGCGATACAAGTAAACATGACATAAACATTGCGGCTTAAGCGACTGTAGGTGGGGAATTGTTTTGATAAACAAGGTCTATTTTGATGCGTTTTTAATGCACTCTGGCACCTTATTCACACGCAAAATAGAGCTACATGTCTACATGAAAAATGTAAATATGTCAAATATATCAAAAATGGTTTACGTTCCAGATTAATTAATTAATGAATTGTGATATAAATATACGTTTAAATTCCTGCCTGGCCCCTTGGAGCCGGTCCAAAATGCTGGTGAAATTGGAACTCAAAAAAGTGTGTATTGTGTGTGTTTGTTTGTAGTTCATGACCAAGAACCCGGCGAAGCGTCTGGGCTGCGTGGTGAGCCAGGGCTGTGAGGAGGCCATCAAGACCCATGCCTTCTTCAGAGAGATCGACTGGGTGCTGCTGGAGCTGAGAAAAGTCAAACCGCCCTTTAAACCCCGTATTGTAAGTAACACACACACTACACGAGCACACACTGTTTTATTGACTGTGACGATCTATTGGTTTCCATGTATTCATGGATGCATGTATTCTACATTTAAGGCTATTAATTTAGTTTTTTACTGACTGAATGTTAATGCTCCAGACATCCAAAAGATGTTGTTGTCTTGCTGCAAGAACACTCAGTTTACAGTAATACGAGGTCCTCTTGTGGTGAAAACAGTTTACAAAACATTTAGTGATGAAAAGAAAGAAGGAAAATATAAATAATATCTCAATTTTACTCCTTTTAGGCTGTATTTGATTTTGGTTAAGTTCATGTATGGCTGCAGTTGTGTAGTTGTGAAATGCTCCTTCGCCAGGATGCTTTTCCGCTCGCTTATACTGGTCTGTGCGCTCGTATCACGTGGACGTGCCAGATTTTTGTGGGTTTTGAGAATAATTAAATCGCACAAGTTACGCATGTACGTAGCGGTGCGCAGCGCATGACGGACTCAGACGCCACTGATTATGAAAGAGCAGGTAGGGACTGATCCAGTGTCACTGAGGGTTCGAACCAAATCATGTGCTGGTGTGACCAACTGAGAAAGTTTGTAGCACCAGTGCCACCAGTGGAAAAGTTAAAGTCTGGAGCCCTGGCACAAGTGTGTGTTCTCTTCACAGTAGAGGCAGTGAGTCTCAGTGGTCAGAAGGTGTCGCTCTAACGTCACTTTTGAAGCACTAGATTGAAGTGAAGTTTCCTCCTCTGACGTCTTTGCCCTGTGTCTGTGTGTGTGTGTGTGTGTGTGTGTGTGTGTGTGCGTGTGCCTCTGCAGAAGACCAAGCGTGATGTGAATAACTTCGACCAGGATTTCACCAAGGAGGACCCCGTGTTGACGCCCACGGACGAGGCCATCATCCGACAGATCAACCAGGAGGAGTTCAAGGACTTCTCCTACTGTGCCCCCGAGGAGACGCAAACCTAACACACACACGTATCCAACAACACTAAACCTGACACGCATGTATGCACACATCGCTGACATTCATACATGTGTAGAAACATAAATCCCTTTACAAAACACATGCACACAAACACGGCCACTCCTTTACTTTGAAGCTATTGGTTGTTGTTACTTTTTTGAATATTCTTTACTTGCATTGTGTTGTTCTTGTTGCCTGGGTTAATTATGAATATAAATATGAATATGACTATGAATATACACAGCTGCACATGCTCTTACACACACACACACATCCCCTCGTTGCACACTTTTAATGTAGATTTACACACGCACTACAATCCCACGTTTTAATCCAAGACAAACGCGCTCACTGCACATGCTCAGACAACCAAAACACACACACACACACTTACTGCTTCTCTCCCCCAGCACCAGGACTGTACAGTGGGTGCTGGGTGCAGAGGCCTGTATATTGCCTGTGTTGAGTGGCTGTATTGTGTCGGTATTGTCTGCTAGTAAAGGAGAGTCGTGGCGCATGGACAAGCACCCTACCTGTTATTACTGTCCTTATTGTGGAGCAGTTAGGGCCAAATATTTGTGCAATACCCTGACTATCAATATATTTTATTTGTTTCTTCAAGTGTTATTTTTGTCTTTTCTTTTCTCCTCAAAATGTGTGTTTTTTGTGTGTGTGTATGATTGAACTCTCGTGCTCATCATGCTCCTGTCTCGTGTGTATAAAGTGAATGTCGAGCTTACAAGTTACAGGCTATTGAACTAATTATGTGGAGCAGAGTGTTACAGGCGGCCTGTGTAGCAGCGTGAAGCCCGATTTCCAGCTATTTCATCCATCTGCTAGTTTCAGAGTCTGTCCCGCCAGTGAGAATGTGCTGACCCGTGGGCGTTTTTTTTTGTTTTTTTTGTCGTGAATGTACATATTTGTAAGTGCGAATGCGTGATTTTTCTTTCTCCCTGTCTGTGTGTGACTTTTCGTCCTCAGTATTTCTGTTTCTATAGTTACCATCAGTGTTTTCAGCCCCCCCCCCCCTTTCCTTCCCCTCTCCTCCAAAGCACCAATTCCCCTTTCCTGCCTCCAGCAGCCGTCTCGCTCAGCCAAAACCACTTGCTTTTCTGACTTTTGCTTTTTTTCACGAATGGCTTTTCGTTCTTATTGCTCTCTTTCTTTTTTTTATTATAGTGTTTATTATTGTAAAGTGTATCTGGAGGAAACCTTTGTGTATAATACTATAACTAAGCTATCATAGGTCTGTTACAGCCGGGCGAAAAAGAAATGTGGAAAACCAGCAGCTGAATTACCTCTCATTTCCAATACACACACAAGCAAAACACCAGATACAGACTCTCTCCTTTGCCTCCTCCCTCTTCTTCTCACTCTCTTTCTGACAAACACACACACATGCACACACAGAGGAGGACTGTCGTCGCGTGTACTGTACAGTGATCTGAATGAAGGTGAGCTGGTTGCTCTGTGTGCCGTAGAGTCGGTGTGTAGTGAAGCTTTGTGCACCCAGGGGTAGGGCTGTTCCTGGTCACACTATCTTACTCTGTGCCAAAATGTAGTGCAACAGCCGGGCTAGTCCTGTCTGGTCTGATTCCAATAAAACACTGAGCTGTCTACATCACTCCCAGACTCCTCTGTGTCATCTTTCCTCCCTCGTTGGTTTTTATTTTTATCGATTCTCGCCTGCTGCTGTTCAGAGGCAGATCTGTTCTGTGGGATGCTTCAAAGTTTGTGTGAGAGACGAAGGGGAGGGGTAGAGTGGAGAGAGGGAGGAAGGGGAGGGTTAGGGTTATGCTTTCACTGGCCTGGCTGACCTATCATCGTGCTCTGCTTTAGAGGCCCTGTAGGTGATGCACATGCAGAGGGGAGAGGAGACACTCGCCGTTAAAGTTATCTGTGCTGCGGGGGGCCACTTGCCTTGCGACATTTGGCACCACTAATTGCCTCTCTGATTAATTAGACTACCTGTGATGGTGCAAATTGTAGCGTGGAGAGTCCCTGCTGCGCTGTGAACTCCTACTGCCTCCTCTTTTGTTCTGAGCCAACGTTCACCATGACACCGGATAGAGACGCCTGTTAGACGCAATGACAGCCAACAAGGAGAAGAGAAGGTAAAGCTGCGTCTTGCTTTATGGCAACTTCTATGTAATTGAATTGTTTCTATGACAGTTTGGTCAGTAACTGGGATGATGCGGTGAGCCCAAAGATGGTGTTGTGACCACACTGGGCATGTAGATAACTTGAATTTTGACCACAATGCAATACTGCCCTTCTCCATCTGCTCATAAGTGATGGAAGAACCAATTAAATTCATTAAAGGAAAGTAAATGTAACCTCACCAAAACGGAAAAATACAAGAAAAGTAAGCATGATTACCTCAAATTTGGGATTTCGTACCTAACGAGCTCCATCTTAGTTGAAGTACTTCATGCTTCTCTACATGTGGAAAACATCTTCCTGCTAAGTTTATGTTTTGGAGATGCAGTGATGTTTTTAGGTCACGATGAAGGTAGAATCTGAATTAAAGTTAAGTAAAATGTACAGCAAAAATTCATGAAACAGTATTTACTTCTGAAAGTGAACTAAAAGTAAAGTACCTCAAAGAGTCTTTGAGTAAATGCACCTTGCTATCTTGCACCTCTGCAATTCACATTTTGAATTTATAAAATGAATCTTCATAACAACAAAACAAACACAACAACCTGTAAGTTCAGTAGAACAGAGAGTTAAATTACAATTTCATCTACGGTATCATAACATTGTGTGTATCCTTTGTACCTACACACAGGGACATGTAGTAGTAGTCTGTGACTTTGTTGTACTTTTTCCCGCCCTGTGTCCTCTGCAGGGCGATCAGCCGCGACGCCGCCAGAAGGAGGCGACGGGTAGAGTCCGAGGTGTTTGAAGATTTGTCTCGCCTCCTGCCGCTCCAACCGTCTGTCCGAGCTCACCTGGACAAGCCCTCAGTGATTCGCCTCACCCTCAGCTACATACGCATGCACACACTGCTCAAAGGTACAAATCACACACAAATCACACACTTTGCTCGAATAGCAACCAAAAACTCTTGGTATAGTTTAAATAACTCAAACAGAAATTAAGTTTAATATCCTAAAACAACATAACATCTTCACTTAAGAACAATGCGATCACGAATATATAGTTTAGTCTCAATGAACCTTTAATATGTCTGCCTGCTCAATCAATACCTAATCAATACTTAACATGCATTAGGTTTGCAGAAACTTTGGGAACTCCTTAGGATGTTAAAATACAGCAGATTCACGTAGTTTTTCCAGAGCTGTATAATAAATACAGCTCTGAAGGAATTCATTACAGGGCGTCCAAATACTTTATATTTCAAATGCACCTTTGAACCTACATGTACAAAGACATTTATTGGGTAAAAGTCAATGAAATATAGTATGTAAGTATTCTGAAGTACAATTGAATTGTACTTTTTTGCAGAGCGGTATCTTCTGCTTCAGAAAAAAAAACTGGAACACACACACACACACACACACACACACAGTATCCCATACAATATTCACGATACACCACATTCTTTTTTTAATAGATCCCGTAAATACCGAACCTTCTGGAAATGTAGACCATAATAGAATGGTTTCCCAACCAGTAGCACAATCAATAATCACACTTTCTCTCTTGCACTGTTTCAGGGGAGACTGGGACGAAAGCAAAGGCTAGTCACATAGTAACACGTGGACAAGTGATGGAACGTCACGGGTGTGACGGAGGACGCAAGGAGAAGGAGAACGAAACAGAGGAAGTCGAGGCCTTGGAGGAGACAAACCTGTACCTGAGGATCCTGGAGGGATTTCTGATCGTCCTGTCCACTGAGGGAGACATGATCTACTTGTCTGACAACGTCAGCAAGTACATGGGCTTGACACAGGTACACACACACACACAAACACTCACACTTACACACACATTTCTATGTGAATTTTGTGTAATGGTATATTCTCTTGACAGAATGAGCTGATGGGACACAATATTTTCGAGTTTACGCACCCTTGTGACCACGAAGAAATCAGAAACAATCTACGTCTAACAGCAGGTGTGTGTGTGTGTGTGTGTGTGTGTGTGTGTGTGTGTGTGAGTGTGAGTAGAATCTGTGTTCTGTTTTGGTTTTATGTTCTGTGGTTGTGTGTTTTTTCAGAGCTCACACATACTTGAGCAGTCGTGTCCCTGTAGCTGATTAAATTGCTTGTTTTTTTAGAGGAGGTTTGGTGCGGTGCAAAGAGAGACTTTGTCATGAGGATAAAAAGCGCTCTGACACACAGAGGAAGAAGCGCCAACCTCAAGTCAGCTACGTGGAAGGTTGGTGACAAACAATCCCACACAACATTGTGATGCAGCAAACACTTTCTGATCGTATTTACTCGGCTCCGTTTGATCTAACTCTCTCCCTTGTTTCAGGTTCTCCACTGCCAGGGCCGAGCGAAGGTGTGTGTCGCCCCGTCTTCAGTTTCCTGCCTGCTGCTGACCTGCCAGCCTCTGCCGCTCTCACACACACTCCTCAGCACACACACCTTCACCAGCCAGCATAGCATGGACATGAGGTTCACGTACTGTGACCAGAGGTGATTTACACAAATGAATACCCAGATACAGCTTATTTTAACTTAACGTAATTTATTTATTCAGCCTTTGTGCAGTTACCAACCATCCTGTATGTATGCTTTATTAGTTCTTCTGATTTCTAAAGCATTTCATGTTAAATGAGTAGAGAAAGAGCTGTAAAAGGTTACAAAACCCCAAGAGGAAGTAGTGTTACACTGCTCGTGTTTGACTTAAACACAGTTGTGAAAGGATGTGGTTTAGACTAAAAAGAAACTTGAGATGAACTCGAGGTCGAGTAACAAGGAAGAGTTCGTACGTTATGAAATTGTTAAGTAAGATTAAGGGAAATGATTAAAGTTCATGCCCATGCCTTTGTATTACTCATCTGTTTCTGCACTGATATTTGTTCTGGTTCTGCTGGTTTTATTGGAGCAAAGCAATGAATGAGCAACAAACAGTGTCAGTGTTACCTACTCTTCCACATGATCAAAACATGTTTAATACAGATGCTTTTCAAAATCCGTCTCTTTCTGGTGTGATGCTTATCGAGAGAAAATGTCCAATCTGTCATAGTTCTGATTGGTTACTGCTAACGCTCAACATCAGCTATGTTGTAAGGAAGTTGTAAGAAATATCCTGACAAATAGTTTTATATAGAATACTGTATAGCATATACAATTTAATGCTGTGCAGCCAAACATTTATCAAACCTATTTTATTTTAAATTCAAGTGGAGATCTCAAAGTTTCCAAAGACAGAAAATATGTGAGGCTGGATTTTAGGGGGAATGATGCACAGGACACACATTTCCATTTGATGGATCGATGCAGCTGTTAAAAACATGGAGTCTGAAGGTTGAATATCTTTCTCAGTGTAAATATCGATTAGTGTTCTTGAAGATCTGAAACAAGCTGATATAGAATACTTCATACTGTGAGAGTATTAAATAAGACAGTTTTAACTTCCCTCCAACTTAATAGCTTAATAGCTGTCCCCCTTTAACCTTCCCCTTTTTAAATTTTAGACCTACGACTGCATTATATCAGTGAACCTTAAACTTGTTTTTGGCTGCAGCTGAATAAGTAAAACTAGGTAAATAATCAATTAACATCAGTTGATGCTGAAAGACTGGTTTATCTGGCAGTATGTTTGATAAATAAATTCATGTTGTTTCTTCTTTGTGTGTTGGTGTTTTCGCAGAATGACTCTGCTTTTAGGTTACAGTACTGATGAGCTGCTGGGCCGTTCCGTCTATGATCTCTGTCACACACTAGACATAAAGCTTTTGACCAAAAATCATCTCAACTGTAAGAAGTGATGCACAAACCCACACATACATAATACACATTACAGACCTGTAGATATCTCATTTCACATCTCTCTCTCTCTCTCTCTCTCTCTCTCTCTCTGCAGTGTGTTTGAAGAGTCAGTCAGTCAGCGGTCAGTACAGGATGCTGGTGAGAGGTGGAGGTTACGTTTGGGTGGAGACTCACAGTGCCGTCATCCCCAGTGTCCGACCATCCAAGTCCAGGCCTGGCGCCCACCAGCCGCTCTGCATCCTCTGTGTGACCTATGTCCTCAGGTGTGTTTGTGCCATTGCCATGCAACATTCGTGTAACTTTGATCAATCTCAAAGAAGGTTTCGAGCCTTTAAAGGTTCATTTGAATGCCTCATTGAGATTAAAGGCATTCAATGCATGTGAAAACAGCTGTAAATAAGGCTGCAACTTCTGATTATCTTTATTATCCAGAGTTGAATACTTTTATAAAATGTCAAACAGTTGTGAAAATCTCCATCATGAATTCCTTGTTATGTCTGACCAACAGTTCCATATTCGATTTACAACTATAGAAAACAGAGAAAAGCAGCAACCTGACAATGTTTGTTTGCTAAATTTACTTGGAAGATGAAACTATTTTCACAATTGTTTGCAATTAGTTTTGTGTTGTAGGTGTTTTAATATAGATCAGAGTCTAATTATTTATAAATGGTTTAATGTTATATTCATATGTGTCTCACAGTGGAGTGGAGGAGCCGTCCTTGCAGCTCTCTGTGGACCAGATTGTACAAATCTGAGCTGAAGCTTGAGTCTGAAGAACAGTCTGCAAAACCTGCATCCTCGAAGAAACAACAACGATCTTCTCTACCTCCATCTGCCAATTCTTATCAGTTAATTTCATTAAGTATAATTTTTCTTGTGTATTTTGTCAACCACTGATGTTTCTGTTTAGTATTCGGATAAAGCCTCGAATATTTGAACTGTCAGAACCCTTGACAACCAGACAATTAATCCAAACCGTGGGAAATGATTGTACATTTTAAGCGGGTTTAAGAAGCACAACTTTTGACTTCCTTAAAAGAAAATTGAAAGCTTTAGGTGTAGACTGTGGTTGACAGACAGTTGACGGGGCGTTGTGAGAGTTGAAATATGTCGACGAAAGCAGGCAGTGTGACTTTTTTCTGACCTCTCCGGGCCTGACCTTACTTCCTGTGGGGTTTCCTTTTGGGCCACCTGACACGTGGGGTGACGTCTGACTGTCAAACATAATGTGTACACACACACACACACGCACACCCACACACACACACACACACACACACACACACACACACACACACTCTCACACACACACACACACACACAGTGTATATAGCGAAATAGGCATTGTGCTGATGAGATGCGAGCAGACAAGTCAAAGCCACAGCTTCCTGAAAGAGACTAGCGATAGGAAAGTTCTCGTGGGAACTTTTTAAACTTTTTACCTCTTGACTTTTGAATTCTCACACACACACCACACACACACACACACACACACACACACACACACACACACACACAC